TCCTTTCCTGTCAAATTCTTAACTTCAACTTACTACTTCCGGCCAGAACGTAGTTTTGGAATTTGCTGAATATTTAATGAGAAGGAGCGGTATTTAAACCACGAAGTTACTTACTGAGACAGAGAGAGAAACAGAGTTTCTGAACTACGCGCGTCTGCCTTTTTGGCCGCTCTCTCTCTCAAAGCTGTTATACGCTCGGCCGTACTCAGGCCCTTGCTAAGCTTCGTAGTAAAATAAGCTTTGGCTATACTTAGTTAGTTAATCTTAGTTTTAGTTTAATTCTTAGTCTTTTAAGTTCAAGTCCAAAGTGCGGACTTTATTTGTTCACTCCCAGGCGGAGTTTTGTTAAATCTTATAGAAATAATAAAGGGTTATTTACCCTTCTCTCATGTTGTTTCCTGTCTTCGAACTCTAGCGATTATTCGCTTATAAGTTCCTAGGTTCCTCACTTCCAACATTAACTTAGAATTTCAAGTGAGGACCTTACAAGTTAAGATTGTTTATCAGTGGGTGTAACCGAGTTAAAAAAATCTTAAAACGAGGGAAAGTGAATAGCGAAACTTTCGGGACATTTCAACGAAAACATTGCGTATCATGTTATGATGTTTTTGCGTGAAATCCACAAGTAAGGACAAAATAAAGGAATCTTTTCACCCCAAAAAATTATAAAACTGATTTAAATTGAATTCTAAAGAGAATTTTTCGTGGCGTTTGTACGTACGTACGTAAGTACGTATCTCGCATACTCAAAAACGAGTAGCCTCAGAACGTTGGAATTTTGTATGTAGGGTTACTGTAACATGTGGATGTGCGCCTCGTATTTTGATTACAATCGGCTGCACCAAAAGTATAAAAATATATGTATTTATATATCCACTCTAGTACTCGGCTCAGTGAGCTCAGTTTCTTTATCCTTATATGTTTTTAAATTGTGCATTTTTTGTTTAAAAATGATTGAATTATGTTGTTCTTATCTTCCGCGTAAGGTTTTTCTGTCTTTCGTGAATCCGCAAGCAATATTTGTACAATTATCAACATTTTAAAAGCTGTTTAAGTACGGTTAAGCTTAATTTTTAAATAACTTAGCGGACATATTTGTTTACATTTGAAACAGTAGAACAGTAGATTTCTTGCCAATCTAGAGAGACAAAGTTTTGCAACAACAAAGATAACGCCTTCAGTTATTATTGCGAATTAAATCATGCTTAATTCTTTCTGGAATTTTTTTCGAGGAAATAAGTGTTTAAGATTTACTTCGTGATTTTTAATATAGATATTTTGAGTTTTATGTATTTTTGCCTTGTCGCGAAGCGAGAACTGAATTAATTGAATGAGAAATACTAAATTGTCTGTGAAAAACTGTTTCTTTTTTGTTTTGTTTGCTTAATTTCTTTTATACACCGTTCTAGATTTATTATATAGTATGTGAATAGAATATGTGGCAACGATTACATAATCCTTCAAATGATATAAATTTTGTGCATTCCGAATTATGATATGAACGAAATATAACGCTGTTAAGTGAACCTAGCGCCGGAGTGTCGCTATGGTAAACAAATATAGTGAATTTTAAAAAGTGCATTTATTCTATTGTGGTTTATGCACTATCGACGAAGTAGATTTAATTTAGTCCAATAAGGTTAAATTAAATGCAAGAAAAATGCGTATAATTTAATATTCCGTACAAGGAAGTCATGTGGTGTACACATCAGAGTTTTTATCTGTCATAAAGACCTGTATTGAAAGAGTCTTTATTAGCTAAATATGTATATTTGCCTGTTCTAGTCTCTATTTTCATAAACGTACATTCATCAAGATGACATTTATATTATTAATGAATGTTAATTAAATTAAAACTTCTAAAAATATCTGAAAACCTTCAGATTTTACATTACGCCCAAAGGGGCATTTTTTAAACTTTTTGTGTATTATTTTTATTTAATAAATTTCATGTTCCTCGCACGTAAACCGTAAAACTGAGTTCAACAGCAATATCACAAAATAATTTAAAAAGAGAATATCTTTAGTATTTCCGATACACAGTTTCGCGCGCTGGAGATAAAAATGATTTTTTTTTTTTCCGTACAGTGTTGCCAGAAATCGTTGAGTTTATTAATTAAAAATTCGTTAAAATTTTACAAAATGCGAAACAGGTAATAAAACAAATTCCAAATATAAGCTTCCGGATGCCCATGTTCGAGTGGAGGACTACGTTATTGAAAATTTGATGTCTCTAGTCACCGTTGTGTTTTCACAGTGCGAGAAACATGCATACATTCATGCAGGTTCTTCCTTATTTAATTTCTTTAAATATAATGCAGTGCTCTAATATTTGGGGGCAACAATTTGAAAAGTGAAACGTTATTTATAGTGAACCAACGCAAAATGGCAAAGCAAAATTAATAGCCCTTCTGGGTAAACTGCCCATTTGGGCTAAAAATAAATTTGTAAAATTTTAATTTTCATTGTAAGGTACCAGAATTATAATCAGATTACAAAAAAAACATTTTAGCACTGATATTCGGGATTTGGACAAAATGATTACTGTAATGCGAGTGAAATTTTTAATGTATTATGTGCACATGATTTGCAAACAAAAATTTAAATGGAAATTTACTATTTTGAATAGACTTATTTTAGTTAACTTGTTTATTCAAGTTGCGACGAATTAGTAAGTTAGTTGAAATAAAAACGGTACGGTTAGGGCTGGGGAAACTATAAATATCTTATCCGGGCCACGAAAAAGCGGATTCCGTAGCCACAGCCCTTATCTCAGTACATAAATTCTTTTCAGTTGTGACAGCATTAATGAAATGGGGAGAAATATTGAATGTGAGTTAAGCCCATATGTGGTAAAAGAGGTTCGAAATATCAAACAAAAAGAAAAGAAAACCAACAATGAACCTAGAAAAGACAACAGTGTTCGAAACAGTGACAGAATTCGAAATTTTGAGCAATTAAAAAAGAAATAAAATGGAAATGAACCTGGATGCTTTAAAACACTGGAGAAGGAGAAAAGTATTAACTAAATTGTCAGGGATATTTAGGTGTAGGATAAATATTAATGAGCTGTAAATAATCCATTTCTTTTTGCGTAAAACTAGATATTATAGGTAAATCGATATCCACTGAGTTCACATTAATGGAACTCTATTATATTTTTTATTTTTATAAATATCAAATTGGCCTTGATTTTTAGTGTCACTTTGCAAGATAAAGATAAGTTCATTCATTTCACTTTGCAAGATAAAGACAAGTTCATTCATTTTGAAATTTACGTACATGAGGACAGAAAAAGCTTAATGTGTTAGTATTTTATATATTTTTTGAGAAATATTTAAAATTTGAAACTTTTGTTTGATGTATTTAAATTTTTTTCCATCATAATTAAAGGCTAGAAACATTATTGCACTAACGAGAATATTTTTTTACTTATTTGTACGAAATTAAAGAAGCATTGCAACCATAGGGAATTTCGGGTAACATACTTCAAAGAAAATACCCTTTTTTACCATTCTCGAATCCCTTTTGACTTCTTTTTTGTGTGACGTCTGTACATACGAACAGAATAAAGGAGTCTTTTTTCCAAAGCGGTTTGTAAAATGGATTTAAAGTAGTCGTAGGACGTTGAAATTTTGTACATGGGGCTGCTTTAACATCATTTAGTTGTGCAGCCCGCTTCTTTATTGCAAATATATATTACAGTAACACAAACTTTTTTTATTTTAAAGCAAATTATTCCAAAACCATTTCCGCGCAAATGCTGCTGAAAATTAATCAATTTTGCACCAAAAGAAAGAAATTTAGAACCAAATTCACAAAGACATGAAAGAAATGAAATTAATAAAAACAAAATCATAATTTACCCGGATTTGGCTCTAAATTTCTTTTCTTTTTGTATAGAATTATATATATATATATAACAAAGATAGGAATGAAATGAAATGAAATTTTGTCTATAATTATATACAATTTAATGTATAATTATAATTCGATTTGGTTCTATTTCTCTTTCTTTCTGTCTATAATTATATATATATATATATATGATATATTTTTAATGTCGGAGCACTTTAGTGTGTAATTATATATAATTATAGAATTTAGAAACAAATCTGGGAAAATTATATATACATATAGCCCGTCTTAAAAGTCCTTACCCGGCTTTTATTTTAGCAGGCGTTGATCGTAGCCATATACTTCTAATTATAGAAGTGTTCTGAAATAACAAAAATATTTGGTTTTGCAAAATCAAATTAAAAAAAATTATTTTGGGCAAATAACTAAATTTAACTTTTCTGCGGTTTCCTGATTCCTATATTTATAATTAAGACACAAACCACTATCGTCAGCTGCAAAAGTGCAAATGAACGAGATAGGCCATCGAAACTAGTCCTGTGAAAATTTGAAAATATAACGCTGATTTTTGTTGTTTGACTTCTGAATTCCTATATTTATATTTGGAAAAGTTTTATATCTGTCATGAAAAAATAAAATTATAAGAAGTTTGACTCCTGTAAAAACTAGCCGGGATATTTAATTTTCAAATCTGCAGTTTTTGATGTCATTTTCAACTTGAATCAAGGGAACTGGTTAACTTAGAATAATATAGGATGCATTAAAAATGTGTATAATTTAATAGGCCGTATAAGGAAGTCATGTGGTGTCCACATGAGATTTTTTTATTTAAGATACCTTTAAAATTATTTAAGTTTAAAAAATTTCGTCTAAGGTTTAAAATAAATAAATGTAAATTAAGAAAACTGAAGTAAAAGAAGGAAAAATTTGGTTTTTATGCTTTGCGGTTAAAATTATCGGCATTTTAAAAAAGACAACGAGGAAATCCCCTTGTTTATATTATTTGAACTTTCTTTTCTAGGTCCAAAAACTAATTGCGCAATATTTATTGGAGATCTCATATATTATGATGAAACTGTTTTATTACTTTCCAAGTATCACCGTAATCACCTTACAAACATTTTAGAGAATTGTTTACTTGCCAGCTCTCTTTGACAAAGTTTTGTTCTTTCTTTGTCCAGCTTGGTTTTGGTTGATGCGCTTCCTCCCGCTCCTTTGAGAATTGTCAGAAACCGACTGCAAACAAAAGCAAACAAAAGTGTTAAATATTATAAATAGCAAATATTACTAGTTAACAACAAGCTTTACATATTGTTATTCATTAATTTTCATTATTTAATTATGTATTGTTAATTTTTACAAAAAATGCAAAACGTATGAGTATTAAATGAATCTTAAATAATTTTAAAAATCTTTAAAATTAAACATGCAGGTATATAACTTTGCTAACATTTTTATGTTTATAATGACATTAGTAAAGGATTTAATATTTTATTCCGATTGATTTTCGGTTTATAAACTGCAGAAATCACAAATAGATATTTATAGCAGTGCTGGCAAACCTAGAAAATTTCAGGATGTAACAATGTTTCAAATTCAATCAGAAAACTCTGCGGTATTAAAGAAGTGTATTTTTACATGGTGAGTATGACAAGAGTTTCGGCAATATATTAGTCTTTCGAATTTAATAAGCAAACTCAGTGAGTTAAAAGAAATGTTTTACCGCTGCCCGAATTAAACTATTTTTATCTTTCATGCTGTATTCAGGAAAGTAAAAGATATTAATTTTTCTTTCAAAGTTATTCTGTTATTAAGCAATCTAAGCACTTAAAAACCGGAAAACTCAGATTCCTTTAAGCTATTATTAATTACTAACTGGACCAGCGAAATTAAACCACCTGGATTTATTAAAATCATGTCTATATATAAAGAACAGTGTTCGTTTGTTTGTGCGTGTATAATTTATACAAACCTATTGCTTATTCTGATCTTGATGAAATTTTTACAGGCTTCATCTTCAAAACAATAGAAAGTTTACTGTCTAAATACGATTTCAAGAAACCACCTCACAGTGTCCTGACTGAGGGCCATTGTTACGTTCCAGTCATCAATGAAAGTAATACATACTAAGTAAAGAACTTGTTTTTAAAAAATAAATATTAATAATTTTTTCTGCATAGTTTCAATTTTGAAATCGCTTCACCTATCTTAAGTTGTCGTCGCCTTTGTTTCGTTCCTATTATCATTTCTTATTAAAACCTTTAGATGAGGGCGTGTTCATTTACTCTCCGTGACGATTTCATTCTGATATGCTCACTTGGTCATTGTCTTTTGAATGGTTAGGAGGCAATTAGCAGCCTCTGCTGCTTTAACCACCACTTTTGAAAAAATGCCCTTAGGCGTTGGTATATATAATTGAAAAAATGGGCGTGTAACGCCGCGCCTACTAGGCGAAGCTGAAGCAAATACAAGGGTATGTAGAGTTCGCTGACTGCTTACTCAAAAAGTGTGTGTGAGTGGACATCCATTCCCGGAGAAGACGTACGTAGACTTGTGATCCTTGGAGACTGCTCACCTTGACTATCGGTAAGAGACTTTTGCTTTTCTCCCCGAATGCTTTACCGTATTACTTAGTGGGTTCGGTGACTAGCCGTTCGGCATGGAGGAAGGAGAACCCGGATCGCTTTATGCATTATTCGCGCAGTTTTATGCACTAAAAGAAGATGTTGATAAACTTCAAGAACTAAAGGAATCGACAGGTATTACCGAGGAACAGGAAAAATGTCTTTGCTCTATGCGAGCCGAATTGGAAGCGAAACATTATATGATATATCGCAAAGATGGTGTAGAAGTTCTAAATCAGGCATTTTCTAATACTAACAATAGGCAAAATTCACAAAAATTAGACAACGGTTGGCAGGATGCACCCGTTTCAAAACGCGGTAGGAAACGTAGCAGTTCGAACGAGGAAACGTATCCCTCCGCTAAAATCTGCAAATCAATTCAATTCCTTACAAGAGGTAAATTTAGATGGCAACAGAATGGAAGAGGACAATATCCTGGAAGAAGATAAGGTTACCCCTAACCCAAATCCCTTCATTCAACCCAGACAGTATGCTGGGAAAATTCCCCCGCTAGTTATCACTAAGACCATTAACTGGAAGGATTTTAGGAAAGAATTAAAAGATAACTTAAAAATTGAAAAATTTGAATGCAAAAAAGAAGGCGAAAATATGGTTCTTAAACTAAGCTCCGCCGACGATTATAAAAAGGTGCAGGATAAATTAGAAAAGGAGGAAATTCCGTATCACACCTTTTTGTTAAACTCAGATAAATGTAACAGATTGGTCATAAAAGGACTCACCACGGATTACCAGGCTGACGAAATTAAAGAAGAGTTAGAAGCTCAAAAAATACCGATAATTAAAGTTAAACCCATCACTAGAATGAGAGACGGTATTGCTACACAGCTGCCGGTTTTTTTATGTTGAAACCCCCCGTAATGACGAGGGTAAGAAAATATGACAAGTTAAATACTTATGTGATATGAAGGTTACTATAAAATCTTACAAAGGTAGGCCCGGACCAACGCAATGTTTTAATTGCCAAAGGTACGGGCATACCCAGAAGGCATGTCACAACGAACCGCGATGTGTACGCTGTACTGAATCGCATAAATCTTTCGAATGCCCATATAAAAATAAAAAAGAACATGCAGCCCAGTGTGTCCTTTGTAACGGTTCGCACGCAGCGTGTAGTCTTGATTGCCCCAAGAGGCCTGGAAATATGGAACATTCTCTCAAACACTTTGAAAATAAGAAAATCATACCCAGCGCCATGACTGATAAAGCGAAAAAATTATACTCGCTCTACTGAGAGCCAATCAGAAAAAGGCACCGACTCCAAAACGTACGCGGCCGCCGCCGCACCGAAGATAACTAGAAATAAACCCAAGCCAGGAGGAAAAACTTCTCAAATTAATGACGAAAACGATATTGAAGGTTTTAATAGATTTATTAAAAATTTATACTCTCTGTACCTGCAATTTAAAGAAGCAGATGACCAGATGAATAAGTTAAGCGTGGCTCTTGAAGCCATTAAGATGTTTGATATGAACAATCATGTATAATCACATCCAAAACAACTTAGCATGTAACAGTAGGCATATTAACTATGCAAAATTTATGTTCTTTAACTGTAATGGCATAAAAAGTCAAGTAACTGAAATTAAAGACTACATTAACAGGCATAGCTTAGATATCGTTCTTTTTAATGAGACGCATCTCAGGACGACTGACTCCCTAAAGATCGCAAACTTCGATGTGTTTAGAAGCGACCGAATACATAACCGTGGTGGAGGCACCGCCATAGCTGCCAAAAGATACCTAAAATGCTGCAAATTCGCATTACCCATTTTTAACAGCATAGAAGCATGTGCGTGTATTCTGAATAGCAAAGGAGTAGAATATCTCATAGTTTCGATTTATAAGCCACCCGGAAACTCGCTCAGTACGCAGGATTTAGCTTATATTGAAAGGCTGGGTTATCCTACTATCATCGCAGGTGATATGAATTGTAAAAATACAAATTGGAACTGCAGGATGAACAACCAAGATGGAATTGTGTTATAAAACTACATAATAAACAATAATGTTTGAAATTAGATCAATTTCTTTATTTATTGTCGAATGCAATTTTTAATTAACAACGAACTAATTGCGAATAACATCATGCGTATCACGCACACGTATTACATTATAATGAACATATTAAATTATTGTGTATTAACTGAGTTCGTGTACGTTCCTGAACAAATAATGCACAAATTTTTGCTCCTACGGAGCACACGTATTGTCCTATGACTTGCAGCAACTCTGATATCTTAGATATTATGCTTACTTTAAATGTTTCGCAACAGCCTTATCTCAGTGTGGAAAATGATCTATAATTTCCAATATAATTCCCTCCGATCATTTACCTGTTCGTTTTACCTTCTACGGGCTACGACATGGATTACATCCCATGAAGACTCGGACAAACTGGATTCAGTACCAGAATGAAATTAATAATAACATCACTCCTAACGCAAATCTTAACTCAAAAAGAAGAGATAGACACTGCTATACAAAACTTAAATATTAAAATTCAGAGTGCCTTAAAAAATGCGCAGTTTGTTAAAAATGAAGACATAACCCTCCCCTACAACTACAACATCAGATTAAAAATTAAAGAGAAAAACAGACTTCGGAAGATTGTTCAGAGAACTCAAAATCCGCAGGATAGAAGAAATTTTAATAAATGCAATAAAGAACTTAGGCTCATGATGATTAAGTATCGCTCAGAGGCATGGGAAAATTTTGTAGACATTCTGTCCCACACAGATTCTACTATTTGGAGAATTAAGTAAAGCGCTCAGAAAGGAGGAGAACAACATTGGCCCAATTAAACATAACAACCAGGCTTTTCATAAAGCTGAGGATATAGCAAACATCTTCGCTAGCGATTACGAAGACCAATTCACGTTAAATCAGTACCCCAACCCAAATGATGTTAACATCGAAAACCATGTAAAAGATTACATTGCTACTAATAGTCGCAGCGTAGGAAATCTCATCCTCCGATCAAGTAAAAGATTGTCTTGATACTTTGAACCCAAAGAAAGCGGCCGGTTATGACGGGATTGGTAACAAAGCCGTCAAGAACCTGAACAGGAAAGGGATAATCCTCATTACAAAAATTTTTAACGCCTGCTTAAATTTGAACTATTTCCCTCGTATCTGGAAACACGCTACCATTATCGTCATAAGAAAACCAGGAAAAGACGGGTCAACTACGAGCGGTTATAGACCAATCAGCTTGCTCCCTACTCTTGCTAAATTATTTGAACGTATTATTGTAAATCGAGTTAATAACTTCATTGAAAGTCACAACTTGTTAAAGAATTACCAGTTTGGCTTCAGACCAGGTCATTCTACAGTACACCAAATCACAAGAATTACAGAAATTATCGGACAACATCTAAATAAGAAAGAGACTGCCCTATTTTGCTGCCCTATTTTTGGACATCGAGAAGGCTTTTGACAAGGTTTGGCATGCTGGCCTCCTTGTCAAAATGATAAATTATCAATTTCCTCCGGACCTTATTACCACAATATTCAGCTACCTAGACAGTAGAACTTTTCAGGTTAAAATTAAAGATACTTTATCCAGCAAGAAAATTATTCAGGCCGGTCTTC